GAGCTCAGCTGGTCGTGATGGCTTTCTAAATGCATGCAGTAATCTTGCATTTTGCTGTATACACGTTTCACAAGCAACCCACAGGACTAGCGCTGGTTGAAGGGGTGGAGTACGTAGCACCTGCACTGTGTGTCCGCGCCGCTCCAGCCCACGCTGCACCCATATGCTTACGCGCTTGCACAGGCGGTTAGGTCTAGTGGATCCTAGAAACATAATCAGTTTCAGGGGAGGCAGAACGCCAGCGGCGGCCATTTCGGAGTGAGTGCACGACCTTGGCACCGTGCCACAGCGCACACATGCAATGAACGATCTAAGTTATGTTTCAGACACAAACGGTGTTTCACATATCAAATCAAAGCTTATTATCCCCCTGAAGTCGTGTTTGATGATTTGCATTGATCTGATCCATCCAGCACATGTAGGAGAATCATAACTTGGCTGGCTCACGCCATGGCCAAGTCCATTCTCAATGAAGTGTACCAGCGCCTGCGCACCGCGGCTCCGGTGTACGCAACGCAGCTGAATTCGGAGCAGGAGGGCTTCGTATGTGGCCTAACGCTGCCAGGAGTCGATGTAGGGGTGGAAGCCTTGCGAACAGCCCGCGAGTTCAGCGGGCGTGGCATCACCAAGAAGGTGCGCCGCGCGACGCGCTCTGATGCGCTCCCTGTGGAAGAACGGCCGCGGTGGGGCGGCGAGGTCAGGCGTCGCAAGCGCCCTACGTTAAGCTCAGCCACAGGGCTCTGGATCCGCCTGTCATTCCAACAATTGTACGGCCGCCGACGACGACAAGCGCGCACCCATGCTGACCCACCCACTGCAGGAGGCGGAGCACGCGGCCGCGGCCGAGGCCGTCGCGTGGCTGCGCGCCGAGGGCCTCGTCAGCCCCGACTCGGACTGCGACGGTGGCGCGCCGGCGCCTGCGGGGGCGTTGACGCTGGTGGGGTCGAAGCGGGCGAAGGACTTGGAGGAGGACGATGCAGGTGAGGGCATGGACGGCTAGCAGCGGTGCATGGGCATGGGTTCTTGGGGGGATGCGGGAAGGTTGCTCAAGGGGGCCTCGATTGAAATCCACGAGCGCACGACTGCGGCCGAACGCCGCAGCACGCCGCTGCTGGGCCGTCCGGGCGCGCCCTCGACGCGGCAGCGCGGCCGCACGAACCCTTCCATCTCATCACCTGCACCCTGACCGCGGCCGCCTCCTGCCCCGATCCCCGTCCTTTGCCTCGACATGCCCCACCCAAGACACCCTGGAGCAGCGTGTCCTGGACGCGCTGGTCTGCCTCCACCCCAAGTCCCTCACGGGGGCGCAGCTGGCCAAGCTGTGCGGCCACTTCAAACTCAAGAGCAAGGTGCGCCGGGCGCAAAACCCCACGCGCCTGCCGCGGCCGCGCCGCGCACCCCGCGCCGCGCGCCTGCTCCGCCTGAAACCTGCCATGACTACATCATCGAGCCCGCATCGGCAGCACGCAGTGCCCCGCGGCGCTGGGTGCACCAGAGAGGGTGACACACGGCTTGAGACGTGAAACCTATGGTTTTGTAAGGGCAAGCACTGACGTCGGCTGCCTGTGGGCGCCCTCAGGTGAACCACTTGCTGTATGCGCGCCTGAGGAGCCATGGCCTGGTGGAAATGCTGGACGCCGCCCCGCCGCCAGCCTGGCGCGCGTCGCCGGCGCTGCTGCAGCTGGCCGCGGCGGGGGGCGGCGCGCGGCTGCCGCCGGGCGCGGGGCCGGGCGCGGCGTGCGACGACGAGGCCGCGGGGACCGCGCGGGCGGGCGACGCTCGCGGGGCGGACGAGGC